CCGGCCTCACGCGGCCCTGCCGCCGGCTCTGACGCGGCCCCGCCCCGGTTCTTTCACGCGGCCCTGCCGCCCCATTTGCAGCAGTCGGGCAGCCGTGCAGCCGAGCCGCCCGGGAGCCGAGCCGCCCTACGCTCGAGCCGCCCTGTCGCCGAGCCGCCCGGGAGCCGAGCCGCCCTGCCCCCGAGCCGCCCTGCCGCCGAGCCGCCCGGGAGCCAAGCCGCCCTGCACCCGAGCCGCCCTGCCGCCGAGCCGCCCGGGAGCCGAGCCGCTGTGCACCCGAGCCGCCCGGTCGCAGAGCCGCCTTTTTGCAAAGCTGCACGACCTGCCCTGCCTGGTGAGCACAGTCCCACTGCCACTGCGTGCTCTTCCCCTACTGCTTGCACTGCTTTGCTCTCGTCGCCATGGCTACCCCTAGTGTCCTAGCTTTTGACGCTGAGGGTCGCGCCATTGATTTTGAGGTCTGGTTAGACGACCTGCAGCTGTTCTTACAGTGCGACAGAGCAGACGGCCTCTCTCTCTTTGACCTCACCTCTGGCGCCTCTCCTGCTCCTGCTGCTGATGCTGATCCCACTGTGCGCTCTCAGTGGGCCACCCGCGATGCTGCTGCACGTCTTGCTGTGCGTCGCCACCTCCCTACCTCTGAGCGCGCGCACTTTAGTCAGTACAAGAGTGCTCAGACCTTGTACGACGCTGTAGTTGCGCGCTACTCCTCCCCTGCCACTGCTGCACTGAGCCGTCTCATGCTTCCCTACCTCTTTCCTGACCTCTCTGCCTTTCCCACTGTCGCTGACCTCATTACGCACCTCCGCACTAGTGACACTCGCTACCGCGCCGCCCTTCCTGCTGAGTTCTGCGCTAAGAACCCACCCCCCATGTACATCGCTCTCTACTACGTAGTCGCGCGCCTCCCTGACTCCCTTCGCGTCGTCAGGGACCACTTTCTCGCAGTCTGTCCCACCACCCTCATCGTCGACCTCCTCGAGAAGGCCCTCCTCGCAGCGGAGAAGAGCATAGTCGCTGTAGGTGCTTCTCGTGGTGACCCTCGCACCCCCATCTTTGAGGGGTGCTCTCCTTCCCCCTTGCTGCCCTCTGTTGCCTCTGCTGCTGCTGCCGACCTGCTTGGTCTTGAGTCGGTCGGCGCGGCGTCTGCCCCTAGTGGGAGACGTCGCTCCAGCAAGGGCAAGGGGGGCAAGGGCGCGGGTGGAGCTGGAGGGGGCGGTGGCGGTGGCGGCGGTGGCGGCGGAGGGAGTGGGGGTGGCGGCGGGACTAGTGGCGGGGGTGGTGGTGGTGGTGGCAGCAGCGGCGGAGACGGTGGTGGTGGTGGCAGCGGTGGTGGTGGAGGCAGCGGCGGAGGTGGAGGCGGCGGAGGTGGAGGCGGTGGAGGCGGCAGCGGAGGAGGCGGTGGTGGTGGAGGAGGTGGAGCTGGTCAACGTGGTACCCAGCAGCGTAGCGGCGGTGGTGGTGGCCAGCGCTCGCAGCGGCAGCAGCAGCAGCGCTCGCGGGATATCCCTCCGCCTCAGCAGCTTCGTGAGTGGTACGCTGGGCGTCAGAGGGGTGGGGGTACTGGTCCCTGCACCTACGTTCTTCGTTCCGGCGACCGCGCGGGTGAGCAGTGTGGGGGTGCCCACGCCACCCAGCGCTGCTTTGGCCGCCTGACGGACGCTTGGCGTCAGCAGTTCCCCGGGGCTAGTGAGATCCCTCACTGGGATGAGCTTCTTAGGGCTGGTGTAGCGATCTTTGATCTTGATTTTGATGCTATCCTTGCTGCTATGTATGCTGTGACTTATAGTGAGGAGAATGAGGGTTACCGGTGTTTCCAGCCCGACCCGGGCATTGGTACTGCTGCGCTAGGTGCTTGTGAGGCTGCTGCTCTAGGTGCCAGTGCGTCTGCGCTCTCAGGTACTGGTGAGACTACGCTCTCAGGTACTGCGTCGTCCTCGTCCTCCCTCACTTTCACACTTGACTCCGGGGCTTCTCGCTCCTTCTTTCGAGACCGCACTACCCTTACGCCGCTCGGCCGGCCGGTTGCAGTCTCCCTTGCTGACCCCTCTGGGGGTCCTGTCCTGTCTCACTTCTCCACTGTCCTCCCGTGTCCGGCTGCCCCTTCGGGCACCCTGTCTGGTCTGTACCTTCCCTCGTTCTCTACGAACTTGGTGAGTGGCGCGGACCTGCAGGATGTGGGGGTTCACCAGTTTACTCCTGCGAGTCAGCGGGTGACCCACTGCACGGAGGCACGCACAAGCCGACACCTTGCCACGTTCTCGCGTCGGCCGGGGTCGAGTCTCTACACCCTGACCGTTGAGTCTCCTCCTGTCCCTGCGTCTGGTCAGGTGGCTGCGTCAGGTCATGTGCTTGCTGCTGCGTCCCAGTCAGGTCCTGAGTCTGCCCCCTGTTCTTGTCGCCTCCTGTCTCACGAGACTCTCCTGTGGCACCACCGTCTTGGCCACCCCTCCTTGCCCCGTCTTCGGAGCATGGCTTCCCGTGTCCTTGTCTCTGGTCTTCCCCAGTCTCTCCCTCCTCTCCCCTCCGGGCCAGGACCTTCCTGTGTCCCCTGTGTCGAGGGTCGCCTCCGGGCTACTCCTCACTCCTCCCACTTCCCCCCGACAGAGGCTCCCCTGCAGACGCTTCACATGGATGTGTGGGGCCCAGCCCCCGTCCGTGGGCAGGGTCACGAGCGCTACTTCCTGTTGGTGGTTGACGACTATTCGCGTTACACCACAGTCCTCCCCTTGCGCAGCAAGGGTGCGGTCACTGAGGTGCTGATCGACTGGATCCGCGAGGCTCGTCTCCAGCTCAGAAAGAGCTTTGGCTCGGACTTTCCTGTTCTGCGTCTGCACTCGGACAGAGGCGGAGAGTTCTCTTCTCGCCTTCTGCGGGACTACTGTCGTGCACGGGGGATCCGCCAGACCTTCACGCTTCCGGACTCACCACAGCAAAATGGGATTGCTGAGCGCCGCATTGGCATGGTCATGGATGTCGCTCGTACGTCCATGATGCATGCGGCTGCCCCCCATTTTCTGTGGCCGTTTGTGGTGAGGTACGCGGCGCATCAGCTCAACCTTCACCCCCGGGTCTCTCGGCCTGCGATGTCCCCAGCCTTGCTGTGGACGGGGAAGGTTGGCGATGCGTCTGTGTTCCATGTCTGGGGATCTCGGGCGTTTGTCCGCGACTTGTCTGCGGACAAGCTGTCCCCTCGTGCTGCTCCCTGTGTTTTCCTTAGCTTCCCCACTGACGCCCCAGGGTGGCAGTTTTACCACCCCTCCTCTCGTCGTGTTCTGTCCTCCCAGGACGTCACGTTCGACGAGTCAGTCCCCTTCTACCGTCTCTTCCCCTACCGCACTCCTTCCCTCCCCCCTCCCCCGGACTTCCTTGTGCCGGTTCCCCCCCCGGTAGACCCCCTCCCCCCTCAGGTTCTTGCCCCCTCAGGTGTGTCCCAGGTAGACGCCGTTGACCCGGTCGAGGTTACTGGTGACTCTGGTGCTGCTGCGGGTGCTGAGCCTGGGGGTGCTGACTCTGGGGGTGCTGTGCGCGGGGGTGCTGAGCCTGGGGGTGCTACTGCTGGGGGTGCTGGGCCTGAGGGTGCTACTGCGGAGGGTGCAGAGCCTGGGGGTGCTGAGCCGGGGGGTGCTGTGCCTGGAGGTGCTGGGTCTGGGGATGCTGGGTCGGGAGCTGCTGAGCCTGGGGGTGCTGCGCCTGGAGCTGTTGAGCCTGGGGTTTCTCCTGCTGCTGCGTCTTGCCGGGAGCCCCTCTCTCCACAGGAGCTGCGCGAGTGGTTCGCTCGCCGCTGGAGGCGTGCTGCTGAGTCTGGAGGTGCTGCTGGAGCTGGAGCTGGAGCTTCTTCGACCGTCGAGGGTGCGGGTGCTGCCGGTCCCGGATCTTCTGGACCTGCGGGTCCTCCTGGAGCTGGAGCTGCTGAGGGCGTTGGGGCTGAGCCTACTGCTGTTGGTCCTGCCGCTGGAGGTGTGGGTGGCGCTGGCGCTGTCGCTGAGGGTGCTGGTGCTGTCCCTGCTGAGTCTGGAGCTGCTGCGCGGCCTCGGCCGTACTTTGTTCCGCTCCTGCAGCAGGTTCTTGGTCTTTCTCCTCCAGTAGAGGGTCCACCGCCTGTCCAGTCGCAGTCCCTGCTGGAGCCTTCCTCTCCACTGCCTGCTCCCTCTCCTTACACTGGTCCTACTGGAGGTCTTACTGAGCGTCGTGAGCCTGCGTCTCGTCCCGCGTCGCCTGTTCGTGCTGCTCGCGCTAGTGGTCGCGGTTCGCGTCAGCGTCCTCCTCCTGTCCCTGCCACGCACCGGATGTCTTTGCGTCCGTCCACTGCTCCTCTGCGTGCCCCTTTGCCTTCTCCTCCTGAGTCCTCTCTTCCTGCGCTTGCCGACCCTGAGTCGGACTCTCTTCGGGCTGCCAGTCCTACTGTCACGCGTCTGCTTGCTACTGTCGTCACTGACCCCTCTTTTGAGTCCACTGCTGCGTCTGCTCTAGTCGCTGAGCTCGTCAACTTTGCTGCTCGCTGTCGTCTCGACTACGCTGCTAGTCTGGTTGCTGAGTCTGCGTCTGTCTGTCCTCCGTCCGTCGGGGGTGAGTGTGCTCTTGGCACGGACGTCCTAGAGGACAGGCAGGAGGAGTTACAGTGTCTAGCGGCTGCTTCACCTCATCTCGCGTCTGTACTGCTTGCCCCTGAGGGAGACCCGGATGCACTAGACATCCCGACTACGCGTTCTTACGCGGAGGCCGTAGAGGGTCCCTACTCCTCTCAGTGGCAGGCAGCTATGGATGCAGAGATGGCTTCCTGGAAGTCCACAGGCACCTACGTTGACGAGGTTCCCCCTCCTGGGGCGAACATCGTCAGTGGCATGTGGATCTTCAGGGTGAAGCGGCCGCCGGGCTCTCCACCTGTCTTCAAGGCACGGTACGTTGCTCGTGGCTTCAGTCAGCGGCAGGGAGTTGACTACTTTCAGACCTTCTCTCCCACCCCGAAGATGACTACTCTTCGGGTGCTGCTGCACATAGCCGCTCAGCGCGACTACGAGCTTCACTCTCTCGACTTCAGCACTGCGTTCTTGCAGGGTAGCCTGCACGAGGAGATCTGGCTTCGCCGTCCACCTGGCTTCACTGGGACTTTCCCTCCTGGCACCCAGTGGAGCCTCCGACGGCCAGTCTACGGTCTCCGCCAGGCACCGCGTGAGTGGCACGACACACTGAGGACTACGCTTGCGGCTCTTGGGTTTGCTCCTTCTACTGCTGACCCGTCGCTGTTTCTTCGCACCGACACTTCCCTGCCGCCGTTCTACATCCTCGTGTACGTCGACGACTTGGTCTTTGCCACAGCTGACACTGCTGGACTCGCCTACGTGAAGTCCGAGCTGCTGAAGAGACACACGTGCACTGACCTGGGTGAACTGCGCAGCTACCTTGGCTTGCAGATCACTCGGGACAGAGCACGCCGCACCATTACCTTGACTCAGTCACACATGGTGCAGCAGGTCCTTCAGCGCTTCGGCTTCACGTACTCCTCGCCTCAGGCCACTCCTCTGCCTACTCGCCACTCACTCTCAGCTCTGCCTTCGGATGAGTCCGTAGAGTCGAGTCGTCCGTATGCAGAGCTTGTTGGCTGCCTCATGTACCTGATGACCTGCACACGACCTGACCTTGCATACCCTCTGAGCATTCTTGCACGCTATGTTGCTCCTGGGAGACACAGACCAGAGCACATGGCTGCAGCGAAGAGGGTATTGCGCTACCTGTGCAGTACGTCGGGCATGGGGCTAGTGCTTGGAGGGCGGAGTCCAGTGGTCCTTACCGGCCACGCGGACGCTTCTTGGGCTGACAACCAGGCTACGCAGCGGTCGTCACAGGGTTACACCTTCAGCCTTGGTTCCGGCTCTGTCTCGTGGCGGTCTACTCGCTCGTCTTCGGTTCTCGGCTCCAGTTGTGAGGCTGAGATCTACGCCGGGGCCATGGCTGCACAGGAGCTTCGCTGGCTCACCTACCTGCTGACTGACCTTGGAGAGCCGCCTCGTTCTCCTCCAGTGCTGTACGTAGACAACAAGGCCATGCTGGCCTTGTGTCGAGAGCAGCGCTTGGAGCACAGAACGAAGCACATTGCTCTCCGCTACTTCCTTGCTCGTGAGCTGCAGCAGCGTGGTCAGTTGCGACTTGCGTACGTGGCCTCTGAGGCCAACACTGCTGATGTGTTCACCAAGGCACTCGCGCCTTGTGACCATCAGCGCTTTTGCACCCAGCTGGGTCTTGTGCCTGTCTTGCCTCACTTGCTCTCCTCTTGACTTCACTTGTACTGTGACATATATATATACCTGCTCTTGCTTGTCTAGTTTTATATATATGTCTGTACTCCTGCACGTGAACTGGCCTCTGGCCCTGCTCTTGTGCTCGGACTGTGTGGTGACTTTGTGATCCACCCTGAGCTTGCTTTACTTTGCTTGACTGGTCTTGTAACCCCTTGTTCTCCCCCACTTTTCCTATGGGGGTGTGTCAAACATTATATATGTTATGCTTGTGTAGGCTACAGTGGGTTAGCCTATAGGGGGTACACAATTCTAGGGTTTCCTACTTGTACTCATTTCACTGCTAGTTCATTCATTCCTGTTTACTTGTTTCACACTAGCGTGTGCAAAATTGCAAGAACAAGGGCCTAGCGTGTGCAAAATAGCAAGAACAAGGGCCTAGCATGTGCAAAATAGCAATAACAAGGACCTAGCGTGTGCAAAATTGCAAGAACAAGGGCCTAGCGTGTGCAAAATTGCAAGAACAAGGGCCTATTATGTGCAAAATAGCAAGAACAAGGGCCTAGCGTGTGCAAAATTGCAAGAACAAGGGTCTAGCGTGTGCAAAATAGCAAGAACAAGGGCCTAGCGTGTGCAAAATTCCAAGAACAAGGGCCTAGCGTGTGCAAAATTGCAAGAACAAGGGTCTAGCGTGTGCAAAATAGCAAGAACAAGGGCCTAGCGTGTGTAAAATTGCAAGAACAAGGGCATAGCGTGTGCAACATTACAAGAACAAGGGTCTAGCGTGTGCAAAATTGCAAGAACAAGGGTCTAGCGTGTGCAAAATAGCAAGAACAAGGGCATAGCGTGTGCAAAACTGCAATAACAAGGGTCTAGCATGTGCAAAATTGCAAGAACAAGGTCCTATCGTGTGCAAAATTGCAATAACAAGGGTCTAGCGTGTGCAAAATAGCAAGAACAAGGGCCTAGCGTGTGCAAAATTGCAAGAACAAGGGCCTAGTGTTTGCAAAATTGCAAGAACAAGGGTCTAGCGTGTGCAAAATTGCAAGAACAAGGGCATAGCGTGTGCAAAATTGCAAGAACAAGGGTCTAGCGTGTGCAAAATAGCAAGAACAAGATCCTAGCGTGTGCAAAACTGCAAGAACAAGGGCCTAGCGTGTGCGAAATTGCAAGAACAAGGGTCTAGCGTGTGCAAAATAGCAAGAACAAGGGCCTAGCGTGTGCAAAATTTCAAGAACAAGGGCCTAGCGTGTGCAAAATTGCAAGAACAAGGGCCTAGCGTGTGCAAAATTGCAAGAACAAGGGCCTAGCGTGTGCAAAATTGCAAGAACAAGGGTCTAGCGTGTGCAAAATAGCAAGAACAAGGGCCTAGCCTGTGCAAAATTGCAAGAACAAGGGCCTAGCGTCTGCAAAATTGCAAGAACAAGGGCCTAGCGTGTGCAAAATTGCAAGAACAAGGGCCTAGCATGTTCAAAATAGCAAGAACAAGGGCCTAGCGTGTGCAAAATAGCAAGAACAAGGGCCTAGCGTGTGCAAAATAGCAAGAACAAGGGTCTAGCGTGTGCAAAATTGCAAGAACAAGGGCCTAGCGTGTGCCAAATTGCAAGAACAAGGGCCTAGCGTGTGCAAAATAGCAAGAACAAGGGCCTAGCGTGTGCACAATTGCAAGAACAAGGGCCTAGCGTGTGCAAAATAGCAAGAACAAGGGCCTAGCGTGTGCAAAATTGCAAGAACAAGGGTCTAGCGTGTGCAAAATAGCAAGAACAAGGGCATAGCGTGTGCAAAATTGCAAGAACAAGGGTCTAGCCTGTGCAAAATAGCAAGAACAAGGGCCTAGCGTGTGCAAAATTGCAAGAACAAGGGCCTAGCGTGTGCAAAATTGCAAGAACAAGGGCCTAGCGTGTGCAAAATTGCAAGAACCAGGGCCTAGCGTGTGTAAAATTGCAAGAACAAGGGCCTAGCGTCTGCAAAATTGCAAGAACAAGGGCCCAGAGTGTGCAAAATAGCAAGAACAAGGGCCTAGCGTGTGCAAAATTGCAAGAACAAGGGTCTAGCATGTGCAAAATAGCAAAAACAAGGGCCTAGCGTGTGCAAAATTGCAAGAACAAGGGTCTAGCGTGTGCAAAATTGCAAGAACAAGGGCCTAGCGTGTGCAAAATTGCAAGAACAAGGGCCTAGCGTGTGCAAAATTGCAAGAACAAGGGTCTAGCGTGTGCAAAATTGCAAGAACAAGGGCCTAGCGTGTGCAAAATTGCAAGAACAAGGGCATAGCGTGTGCAACATTACAAGAACAAGGGCCTAGCGTCTGCAAAATTGCAAGAACAAGGGTCTAGCGTGTGCAAAATAGCAAGAACAGGGGCCTAGCATGTGCAAAATTGCAAGAACAAGGGCCTAGCGTGTTCAAAATTGCAAGAACAAGGGCCTAGCGTGTGCAATATTGCAAGAACAAGGGCCTAGAGTGTGCAAAATAGCAAGAACAAGGGCCTAGCGTGTGTCAAATAGCAAGAACAAGGGCGTAGCGTGTGCAAAATAGCAAGAACAAGGGCCTAGCGCGTGCAAAATTGCAAGAACAAGGGCCTAGCGTGTGCAAAATAGCAAAAACTAGGGCCTAGCGTGTGCAAAATAGCAAAAACTAGGGCCTAGCGCTTGCAAAATTGCAAGAACAAGGGTCTAGCGTGTGCAGAATTGCAAGAACAAGGGCATAGCCTGTGCAAAATTGCAAGAACAACGATCTAGCATGTGCAAAATTGCAAGAACAATGGCATAGCGTGTGCAACATTACAAGAACAAGGGTCTAGCGTGTGCAAAATTGCAAGAACAAGGGTCTAGTGTGTGCAAAATAGCAAGAACAAGGGCATAGCGTGTGCAAAATTGCAAGAACAAGGGTCTAGCGTGTGCAAAATTGCAAGAACAAGGTCCTAGCGTGTGCAAAATTGCAAGATCAAAGGTCTAGCGTGTGCAAAATAGCAAGAAAAAGGGCCTAGCGTGTGCAAAATTGCAAGAACAAGGGCCTAGCGTGTGCAAAATTGCAAGAACAAGGGTCTAGCGTGTGCAAAATAGCAAGAACAAGGGCATAGCGTGTGCAAAATTGCAAGAACAAGGGTCTAGCTTGTGCAAAATAGCAAGAACAAGATCCTAGCATGTGCAATATTGCAAGAACAAGGGCCTAGCGTGTGCAAAATTGCAAGAACAAGGGTCTAGCGTGTGCAAAATAGCAAGAACAAGGGCCTAGCGTGTGAAAAATTGCAAGAACAAGGTCCTAGCGTGTGCAAAATTGCAAGAACAAGGGCCTAGCGTGTGCAAAATTGCAAGAACAAGGGCCTAGCGTGTGCAAAATTGCAAGAACAAGGCCCTAGCGTGTGCAAAGTTGCAAGAACAAGGGTCTAGCGTGTGCAAAATAGCAAGAACATGTTGAGTGATGCTACCATTCGCATTCACGTCTGTCTGCCTCCCATCATATGTTCGTGCGTTGCATGCGTGTTGTGAGTGTGTGCAGAAATTTGTGTTTTGTGCGGTTTGGTTTTTCTGAGTGTGTGTGTGTGAATGTTATTTGGCTTGAGCAGATATCTGAAGTGACTCCTCTGCTCAAGAGCTTTCCGAGGAACCAAGTATCGCTTCAATCGGAGCACGAACAAGAAAGTTACGAACGTTGGAGTTCGTATGCTTTTGATATTTGGTTGTGGTGACTATGGGAAGTTGTGGGGTTGACTCAATATGGGGTACAGACTTTTAAGGGTTGGGAAATTCGTCTTTTCTACTGTAGTTTCTGCCAAATGGTTGGGAGAAACCAAACCAGGCTTGCAAGTGTGGCCAAGTTGGGTTGAGGTGGATTGTGGAGGTTGGGATAGTGACAAAGGTCAAAGTTGGGTTGCCTATGGGGAAGGGAATTGTATGGCATGGGGTTTCCTTGGTTGGGGACTCTCTTGGGACCTTCCCTCTCGTGCTCCTCATCCCTTCCACCTGGTTTAGTGCTACTCCAATTCTCTTGTGTGAACTTTGTGATTGAGTTAAGATTCTATGGCAGCATACCCCCTAGTGCGCCGAAATTGATAGCTCAAGAAATACTTCACCTTTTCGCATGATTCAACTGGGGAATTGTAGCCACGGAGTAGAGCTACAACATATTCGAGTTTGATGAAGTTTTGACTGTGAACGTTTCGTCGACGGCGTTTCTTGTGTTCAGAAACTAGGCCCAACGATGTTGAGATATTTTTGCTACTAAACTTCATAGACTCCGTCCTCAGTCTCTTACAAGTGGTATCAGAGCTGATTAAGGACCTTTTGGGGAGTCTACTGAAGTGTGAAGACCCTCCTAGACCCACCATGGCCTGTGGGCGTGCCTAAGTGGGGTTCTATAGGTTGGATGTGACTTCCGCTAAGGGGAAACTCTGCCAAAATTTTGTTGGCGCCGACACTTGTGAAAATATTGTGGGACTTTGGTGTGGACAGCAAAGGGGGAGCTGAAATTGTGATTGGGAGCAGAGAAGATGAGTCAAGGAAGTGGAGATGCAGTTGAGAAGAGGAGTGAACCGCCACCATCCAAGATTGAAGCTTTGGATGGCTCCAACTATGAGGAATGGAGCGGGCGGATGCGGAGCGCCTTCAAGCGCTACAAGCTGCTGAAAATTGCAATGGGAGAGGAGAAGATGCCAGGGGAAGGAGATGCCCGCGATCGGTGGATTGAGAAGAGCGCGGTGCTGTACGACCTCATCCTCCAATCGGTCAACAATGACATGTTCCAGCACATCAAGGATTTGGTGGAGCTCGATGACTCGGGACCAAAGGCGTGGAAGCTGCTACGCGACGTGGTTCAGCCCAACACGCTGCCGATGGTGATTGTGTTGGAGAAGGAGCTGGCTGCCCTCTCCATGAAACCGGGAGATGATGTGAAACCAGTCCTTGACAAGATCAAGGACACCTATGCGAGGATGGCAGCGGCGGGCAGCGAAGTGTCGCAGATGCAACAGTGCACCAAGATCATCTCGGTGCTTGACAACTCGTGGGACAACCTCATCCCCACCCTCAACGTTCAGCAGGAC